GTGACAATTTCTTTAGTGCACATGAACCTGTGATACAAAAATGGAGGTTATGTAACCTCTTTGCTTTGTCAGTCCAGCAGCACTTACAGGCTTGGAGATTTTATTTCTCCTGGTGACTTTCTGCCTGGGGTTGGGTTGGACAATGGCACAGAGAGATCACACAGGCAGCACACAGCCTCACAGGCAGACATGGTGTGGGTGTTGCACGAGCTCGGAACAGGGCAACACCTGGCCCAGGACTGTCAGCCCCTGGCCAAGCGAACAAATCTCTAATAACTGTAATTACAGGCATAAAACTACCATCTGTAAAAATTTTCTGGTTTGGCCTTTTATAAAGTAGATACTACAACACTGCAAAACTTAATGTCTTTGCTGTTTCAGAAATATAACACTAAAGGCTTGACATTATGCTTCAGCCTGAAGCTGCTTAGGATTTGTGCTTAATACGGTGAGAAACAGCAAGACTTTAGCATTTGCCAGTTTTCAGTTTTAACAGCTTTAGTTTTCTAGACTCAAGATTGATAACACTTGTCTTTCAAAAGACAATTAAAACACTTTTCTCTTTCATGGAACTTATACCCAAACTTTTCTGGTCTGCTGTACTCGGAAAACATAAGATAGAAACCCACATGGCATTTTCAGCCAACACACGGTGGGAATCCACTAATGGGCTTTTCTCTCATCTAATCCAGAAACTCTCACATACACAGCCCAGTGTTTCAGAACTTATTTTTGCTTCTGGTGTCATGCCCCTGGATAATGAACAGGCAAATCACTGTTACAATGAAAACTTGTCTTTTCCCTTTGAGGGTGAACTTTGGCAGCTTGCAGCACACAACAAGGAAGCACAGGAACTTACAGCCAGAATTTTAAAGAGGTTCCTTTTGTATATAATGAAATTCTGTGCACATCTGTACAGCTTTTTTTGAGACAGAGGCATATTTACTCTGCCTACACTGCACAGCAGAAGCAATGGATCTGGAGTACAGATCCAGCCCAAGCTGGTACACTGCATGAAGAAGCAGAACTTTGCTTGTACCAGGCTGCTGCTGCCGTTTTTTCAGTATTTGTAGACTGATTCACTCTTTCTACAGTCGGGATGAGATTTAGCCTTCAACAACTACTTCATATCTATATGTCAGGCCAGCTTGTGAGTCTCACAAGTAAGAGGGCATTTTCAATCATCAATTCCACAGTGTCAGAAAATCATGCAGCATTATAACAAAGCAAGCCTGGAGAGCAAGGGCATTTTACATTTTTCAAGATAAAACCAACAGTCCTCTATCCAAGTCACATTGTTCATTCTACGTTGTAATAGGCTCATATTCCCCTTACAGCTTACTCAGTGTGCAAAATCACTTTTTAATGCATCTCTCACCAGATTTGAAGAATATCACTGACCAATTCAGCTTTTGTCATTCAGGACACTAATTTTCAGAATTCCCTTACTTGATCTGTTAGTCCTGTAGTTCATTTTACTAAGCTATGGCACGTTACAACATACCTAGATGGACAACTTTAGCAGCTAAGCCAGTACCCAATTATTCACTGCTCTGAACAGAATCCCTCTATCTATATCATGAATCATTAGTTGTCATAGGGTATTATCTGTTCAAGTTTTCACATGCAGATATGTAACACAAGACAGACAATCAAGATTGTGCTTGGCATAAACTAGTTCCACACACACATAAACCCCCAAAGAACACCTAAACCTCCAGCCTATTCTGTGATGAACTCACACAGTATTTCACTTGTCCTGAGGCATCTCCTCCCCGATTTGAAAGTGTCACTATTGAATCCAAAGCTTACAAACAAACAACAGCTGTTCAGGGGAAAAAAACCAAAACCAAAAACTGAAAAATCCATACATGGGGCACTCAAGAACATCAGAAACCAGCCCATTTCTCACCACTTTAAGTTATTTAGGATTTATCCACCTGAATTTTCCTGCAGCTAAGTGAAACTTTTTGGCCAGATCACTGGCTGCCCTATCACTGAAACTGTCTGCCTACAAAATGACAAGGTCACCTTGGTCAGCTCTAAAGATAAACATCCCCATGGTGCACAAACAGATAATTATTATTAGAATCAAATTGTTAATCAAGCATTCTTGCAAATCCATTTTTTCATGATCACATGAACTCACTATACTCAACATAACCGGCCATAAGACCATTTCCAAGTTGATTTTCCTTGACGTTCCCAGGCAGTGCCAGCTGCAGATGACAGCTCCCTACTTCGCCCACTAAACTACAAAGAGTCTTCTCAATCACTTCTAGTAAGCACAGGAAGATGTGGTTTTCTGCAGCAGTATTGCTACATTAGGGGAAAAAAAAGTTTTCTTCCACTGCCCCTGAATTTCCACTGCTTTATGAGACTGAAATAATGGCTCATGCCAAAACCTAATTCAATAACAGATAATTAAAAGTACAGACTACTTACAATGTAGCCACAAACATAAACTGTTTATCATTTAACTACATATAATTTGGAGGTAACAGAACATCTGCTGATTATTCTGTGAAGATGCTTCATACCTCCATACTTCCCCCAAATCTTTCATGCGTGGGCGAGCCTAAAAAAAAAAATTAATCTGAAAGACATCAGACTACCTGAAGGATAATATATTTGCAAGACATATGAGGAAGATATGTGCCCATCCTTTTCTCCTTGTAAATCCTAGAGCATAGATGATCATGAAGTGTTCCAGCATTTCCAATAATACACAGGTGGCTCTGTACCTCAGAACAGACTGCTCAATAACCACTTCCCAATTTATACAATCCAAGGATTTAGTCTCATAGAGTTAAGGATTTTCTTACCTTATCAAGTGATTCATTTCATCGAATTTGAGATACCTACCCATGTGAACTGGATTTTCTGCTGTGAATAGGTACTTAGTAATAGGTGTCTATTAAGATATTAGGAACATTAATTATAGAGGAATAATCAGTGGAAAAAGATTACCAAGTAGAATTAGCAACACTTTCATAAAGCCAGTGAGAATATTTTTCCTATATTTACAGAAGTGTCTGCATTTGAGTCAATTCACTGACAATGCCCATTAATTTTCATTACCTTGTTAAATGAGAATTTTATTGAACTACAGCATATAAAGTTATTTTACGAAATTACCAATGAAAACAGCATTAGTCATGTACCAGACTTGGTCACGTTCAATAAAAAAGTTGCTGTCAGAAACCTACTGGGCTTCTCAAGGAGGAGCCACAGACATTAGCTTTTTAAGATCATATTTGAAGAAGAACCCGTAGAAAGAAATAGACGCCCCAAAAAGAGGAAAAGCCATCCAAAGCTTTCACGGAAGAAAGAAGTGCGATGCTCTTGCCCGCCCGGGGATCTGCTCGCCCCCGGCCGCTTCTGCACCCACGTGGAGCCGCGGGCTGGCACCGAGCGATGCCCACGGGTAACGCCGGTCACCGAAAAAGCCGCTTCTCGCCCTTTTCTCTTTGGGGCAGGGGCAGGGAGGAGGAAGGCTGTTACCCAGCAGGAGGAATGAGAAGATCCACTGCAGCACGGCGACTGTCTGGATCCTCCTCTTTAGAGGGATATTGATGGGGGCAAACTCGACCTTCATGCTGTCGGAGAGCAGCGCGGGAGGCGCGGACCTGCCGGCTCCGGCTCCAGCCGCCGCACCTGCCCGCTGCGCGCCGCTCTGCCGCGGCCCCGGCCGTGCAGGAGGCGCCCCTCCCGCCGCCGGCGCTGCCCACGGCCGCGGGTCCGACAGGCGGGGACGGGGAGGCGGTGCCGCCCGCCCCGGCCGCGGGACCAGATCCCGGAGCAGGAGCGGGCAGAGCCCGGGCGCGGCTGCGGGGGCTGGCGGCTGCTGCACCGCCTCCTCCCACGGGTGGCCGGCGCGGCTCCCCCCGCCCACAGGCACCGCGGCTCTGCCGGAGCGAGCCCCGCGCCTGCGATCCAGGTGCGTCCGCACCCAGCACCTGGGCTTTTCCCCTCGGAGCGGCCGGAGACCCGGCACTCCGGGGCGTGCTTAAGGCTCTTACCATTAAAGAGCTTATGGAGCTGACCCAGAACTTAAGAGTTCCTGCAGTGTTTTGGAGTCAAGCGTTTCGTTTTTAATTAAACAAGAACACGCACAGCCTCCTCCCGCCCGCGGCGTTTCGCCCGGGGTGTTCGTGACAGGGATCGTCAAAATAAAACTTCGGAGTGAAAAAGAAACCACCCCCCGAAACTTGCACAGCGTTGCCTAAACTGACCCCCACTTCTGCACGGGGACGGCGGCAGCGCCGGGATTCCCCATCCTCCACGGGGACAGGGACAGCGCGGGGACTCGCGGTCCCACACGGGGGCCGGGGACAGCGGCACCGCCGGGACTCGCGGTCCCACACGGGCCGTCCCTCCCGCCCAGCGCGGGCTGATGTCACCGCCGTAGCTGCCCGCCGCGGTGCCGGGGTTCGGCGCACCGCCCGCCCCCTTCCCAGCGCCCGGACGGGATCGGAGCAGAGCCCCGGCCGCCCGGCCGCGCTGTCACGGCGCCGAGGAGCGCGGGGGGCGGCGGGCGCGGGCGGGGGGCTGAGGGCGGCCCGCGGGCAGCGCGGCGGGAGCGCGGCGGGGCCTGGCGGGTGCGCGGCGCAGGCGCAGCGCGGGCCCGGGCCGCCATGCCGACCGTCAGCGTGAAGCGGGATCTGCTGTTCCGGGCGCTCGGCAGGAGCTACAGTGAGTGCCCGCCATCCCCGCCATCCCCGCCGTGCCTCCGGACGCCCCCGCCGGGCTGCCATGGCCGCGCCGCCTCCGCCGCTGCCCGCCCCGGCCGGCGCGAAGCCCTGAGCGCGCACGGTGCCGCCGCCCTCGGTGCCCTGCGTGTCCCGGGGCTGTGCCGGGACTCTCGGGGAAGCTCCGGCCTCAGAGCGCCGGTGGCTCCCCTGCCGCCGGCTCCCGCCAGCCCACGGCACGGCAGGCACAGCCGTGTGTTATCCCTGGCCCCTTCGGGCCATTGCCCCGACACGCACTGCTCGCGATACCTCGGGAAATTGCAACCACGCGTCTCCGCATGGCGGTTTCTGGTTGGAGTGTCACTGTATGTTTCAGGATCTGGTTAAACGAAGAAGGAGAGAGAAAAGGGGAGAGCAGGCAAAGCGAGCAGTGAATAGCGTGGGGTTATTCAGCTCTTCGTTCTCGGCTCAGGAAGCAGATTTAAGAACTTCTTGGCCGGAGAGGAGCGTTCAGTGGTTTAGACGAGAGGTGTTCAGCCCGGTGCAAATCTGCATTGTCAGATCAGGCATGTGTAACTCACATGTTACAACGCAGTTGATGCAACCTCTGTAGATCAACCTGAGTGATCAGAATAGGAGCTGCCCAGTTACTCCCTTCTGATTTCATTATCTGTTCAGGCCAGAGTTGCTCTGACAGACTTGGCTGAGGAGCTGAGCTCCAAAGATCAGAAGCCCTCTCTTGTGGCTGTCAGAATATCATGTCAGTAAATTGACTATGTACTTGTCCGACAGTACTAAAGAAGCTGGTCCTCAGATGCAAATATAAGGAAAATTCTTTAAATTACTTTTACCTTTTTTTTTCAGAATAGAATTTGTTACCTTGTTTGAAAACATTCCAAACTCAAACACAAAAATAAGAGCGAGGTCTGCTTATTAACCAAAGTTCACCCTCTTCTTTCACAGCGGATGAAGAATTTGATGAGCTTTGCTTTGAATTTGGTTTGGAGCTTGATGAAATTGTAAGTAATGTTTTTCTTTGTTGCTTTTTGAGTAGATATAGCATATAGACAGCATTGTTTTTTGGTAAGAGTTTGTATAGCACTGTTTCCAGCATGTCCCCTGGTATAGTGTTGTAATGGACTGTATTAACACCGGTGTTTTGAATCTGGAGAAAACCCCTCAGATTTACCAGAGTTACTGCTTTGGAAGCAAGAGACTCCAAGATGGCATATTGCAATACTTTCTGGAGGTCAACACTCTGTACCGCTTACTCTTCAGTCTCAGGCACTGTTTTATTTAGCAGCATAAATATGGCCACAGAGCATGTATTGCTCATATTTTACAAGATCTGTTTGGCTTTGTTTGAAATGCAGTTGTCTGTGGAATATCCACAAAAAACATTTGTCCTGGACATTGTTACCTGAGTTGTAACTAATTTATATTTCATGTTTTGATTTAGATTCTGTGCTTGTGGAGATTTGGTGGCCCTGATAACTCTATCCATGCAAATCTTGCTCAAGTAGACCTGTTTTGTTTTTGCCATTTAATTTTAATTTATTGGCCTTTTAATGATGTTTATCAAAAGATAACATCATATGTTACACTTTATTTCAGTATAAATTTGATTATGACAAGTCACTTGCTGATCTATTGCCAAAAATAAGGTCTCAGATCTCTACTGGGATCTGACACCTGGGAGATTCTTGCTTCTATAATGTTTTTACTTAAAATTTTAATACTGAATTTTTCTTTTGTTACACTGCTTTACTACACTGCTTTAATTTGAGGTTTTATGTAATTTCTTGTATTTAGTATGTCCATTTGCTGTATAAATGCAAATTAGTGTTAAACTTCTAATCAATCCAGTTTCTCTTTTGATATCACTATCATACTGCTGTCAATGTTGAGATATATGAGGTTAAAACTACTTTTTTGCTTCATTTCAGACATCTGAGAAGGACATTATAAGTAAGGAAAAAGGTGAAGAAAAGGCAAAAGGTGCGTCTGATGTCGTTCTCTATAAAATTGATGTTCCTGCCAACCGCTATGATCTGCTTTGCCTGGAGGGGTTGGTCCGAGGACTACAGGTCTTTAAGGAAAGGTAAGGCAGAGTTGTGAGATTTCTTGTGTTGTTTGTTATTTGTTGAAATATGGGTCCATTTCTGGTCAGTAAATAACTTCTTACTTGCTTGGATTTTGAGTATGATTACGTCTGTAGATCAGATTCATCAGATGTTCCTCTGGAGAGGATCTATTGCATAACTTATAAAGACTAGACTAGAATGTTAATGGATTTTGTATCTGTTCTAAAAAATTTTCAATTGCTGTTCCTTTTGAGAATTATCTTCTATAAAGAACTTCTACAGAGAAACTTTCTTGTGATCCTTTGTAGTAAATACCAAAACAAATAATTCATTTCCCTTTTCTGCAATGATTTTATCTTGCTGAGTTCTATTTACTATCCCATAAAAAACAAGTTTTGCACAGTTAGCTAATTACATGCCAAGAAACATTAGCAAGAAAGTATTCTACATAAATCTGCTTCTACATTTGTAGAGTTTTCTGCATTTCAGCTACAGACTTACTTCTGTTTTTCTTTTAGGATAAATCTCCCTAGGTTTGAAAAGATAATACCAGCTGAGGGTGAAGGTCAGAGGCTGATTATCACTGAACAGGTAAAAATGTTTAGTGCACCTTTGTAAATGTATTGAGAGTTGCTGAAGCAGCAAGATCCCTATCAGTATGATTTTGTAAGAGCAGTGAGACTGGAAATCCTATTTGCAGAACAAGAGCTAAAGAAATTTAAATACCTCTATTTGGTGTGATCTGTTCTTAGGAATGAGGAGGGGAGGAACAATAGACAAATTGATTTGGGTGTAGCAGATAAAATCAAAGTTTCAGATGCAGCTCAAATCAAAGTTTCAAACGCTCTCCTGAAATCTGCTTGCTGCTGTTGTGAATTGCAGACTGCCCAGATCCGGCCTCACGCTGTAGCTGCCATCCTCCGAAATATAACTTTTACCAAGGACCGTTACGACAGTTTCATCGACCTCCAAGAGAAACTACACCAAAATATTTGCAGGTTAGTGCTTAAATAAGCAGGTTAGTGCTTAAAGTAGTGTATAATGTCTGCGTGTATGATTTTATCACATGTTAAGAGTGCACATCCCTGTTGCAGAGAGGCATTATGGTTATGCCAAGGAAAATCTTCTATAGGAGCTGTCTTGATCCTTCTCATTTCTTTCCATGTTCTTGTCTTCTGCCAATATTGTTCAAAATAAATAGCTGTTACAGTTCATTCAACAGTTGAGACAGAAGTGTTTAGCAACGTTCCCATTGGATTTGCCTTGACAGTTGTGTTGTTATTCATAATAATATTTATTAAAATGTTATCAAATAATTTCTAGGCTTCTCAAAATTATCCTTCTGTTTTTTCAGTAAGCTCTGTGAATGCATAGAAGTATAGAGCATCATACTCTAAGAAACTCCAAGTATTACTAGTAAAAACATTATTTTGCCTTCTTTATTTCTAGGAAAAGGGCATTAGTAGCAATAGGTACCCATGACTTGGACACCATCACTGGTCCATTTACTTTTACAGCCAAAGCACCTTCTGAAATTAAATTTAAGCCCCTGAATCAATCCCAGGAGTACACAGCCTCACAAATTATGGATCTGTATAGGGTAAGTGGAATTTTTCAGACTGATAAAGGAGGAAGATAAATTTCCAAGGCTAAATATCTCTCATATTCTTGTTATTAAAAGTTGTTCTTACAAATAAAACACAGTTCTTCTGTAGCTTAACAGCCAGTGAACGTTCCATATTTTGCTTATCATGAGAAATGCATGGTAATAGTTTATTTTTATTTTCTGTGAAAAATACATTGTGGTATTTTGGGGCTAACAGCAACTCTTAGAATGGGTTTGGTAGAAAACTTCTGATTTATCAACATGAAGATTGCTTTTCATGACGCTCTTAATAATACTGTAAAAGGCATGTGTATTTATCTACTATAAATGTCTGGTGTAAAAGGGTTGGAAAAATTTCAGGTCGATATTAGCAGATTTTTTAATGTTACCTTCATTTGGCCAGTTTGCTTGGGAAAGATGGTGGATTATTTACCCAGCTGCATATTAGGCAAGTATAGCTTTTGTGTAAAAGGCTCGAGTTGTCTAGCACTGCTCCTGGCTCAGCAGCCTGATAAAACCAGGCAAATGCTAGGAAAAGATCCTATCAATTCTGATTTTACAATGTTTATGTGGGCCAGTTCCCATGTTAGTATTTGAAAGTGGTACTATTTATCACTGTCATTACAGTAGACAGCTCTGCTGGAATACACATACTGGCCATGGAGGCAATTCCTCAAGTATCTGACTAAAGAGTAAGGGAGCTCAGAAACAAGAGGGACTGAAAAAGGAAATTAGGTTTTTGGTACAGCACATACTTACGTCATTAGAATAAATGTAAGTTTTGAATCAAATTTTAATAAATAATAAATATGTCAGTATCCAGCAATTTATAAGTAAAAGTATTGAAGTGGTAATTTTTATTACTTTCAGGAAGAGTTCCTATAGACTAGGGGTATTTGGCAGCGTTTGCCTGCTGTGGTGAACAAGGGTATCTTTTGGGCAGCATGGCCTACACATGTTTGAGAGAATCCTTAAATAATCTTCAGCACTTTTGAAGAAAACCAAAAATCCAGTTCTCTCATTTCAAACTTTTCCTGCTGCTGGGAGCAAACACCATTTCCTAGTAAAGTACCTAACTCTAACCCAATCCTTCCCACCTTCTAAAGTCCCCTTAATTAGTCACCAAAGGATTGTGGCTCTATGGAAGTTCACCTGTGAGCTGCAGTGAAATTCAGGCTGTGCTTTGTTTTTCCAGACTGACAGCCACCTTCGGCACTATTTGCACCTGATTGAAAACAAACCACGTTATCCTGTCATTTATGACAGCAATGGGGTTGTTCTGTCCATGCCACCCATCATCAATGGTAAGATTAGTTTTTGACTTCTTTGTACTGTTACTGCTGTTTTGTGTGTGAATTAGTGTCTGACAGAAACACTGATGTGTCATAGGGATTATTGTTTTTTTCTTAAAATAGTTAAATTTAAAACTTAAAATTTCATGAAGTCTTTTTTCCTTCTTTCAGTTTAAAGGTAGTAAAATATTTTGCTCCCTCCTAGGCTGCTAGTGTTCCTTTTTCTCATCTTCATCAGAAGGGTGTAGAAGTGCTACTGCAAACCTCTGCACTGAGCTTCTCATACTCTTCCCCAACTCGATAAAGTTCCTTGTGACAGGAACTTTTTTTAGGAAAAGAAGCCTGCAAGAAATTATTTTGTAAACTGGTAACAGTAACTGGTAACTGCAACTTTGTACTCCATTTTCTGAGGTTACATCAGGGAACTTAGCAAGGGGAACTAGTTTTTATGGATCCTATTGCTATCGCACTAAGTGATTTCAAGACTTTAATTGCTTAAAGAGAATAAATTGGTCTAGGCTTTTTTGTATTGTTCTAAA